GACTCTAACGCCACACGCTGGCCGAGGTTTTCCGGCCATGCACAATGGGAGGCGCCGAAATGTCGCGTTCCCAGAACTGTGTTGGCATTCACGTCTAATGTACGCTTTGCAATCGAAGGTTTGAACTTGTTGTCGTTTCCTGCCTGCCTTAAGGTCAAGTCTTGGGATCGAGACATGCCAAGGATTTTTCGAGCCACAAGCTCAAGCCGATCCCCACTGCACTCCAAGACCCGAAAGCAAAACCGGCAGAAGCAGGTAGATGCACTAACAAATGCCCAGAGCAGCGACTTTGTGTGTTTGTATCTATATGTATATGTATGTCAATGTTTGTCTGTTTGCATTGTTTGTTTTTTCAAACACTAACATTTACCTTTTTATTTTGCAAAGGTATGCATATTTTACCAAGCGGATCTTGAATCGCTCATTCTTCTGAGCCCAACATCAGGATGCAAAGCCCCCCGAATTAGTTCCGACTGTCCGACTGCTCCGGTCGACAAAGGCCTGGCAGATTTGGGCTGGACATGGGCTTATGGCAACAGCGGCGCGTTGTCACTTATCTTTGCGGCATGTTGATGTTGCGGCGCTGTTGCGGTTTAGAACCGAAGGGGAGAGTTTCAGGGTAATTTTATGGGATTCGCTCGAAGCTTAAATCCTGACCCCGCGAACCCTAAACCCTGAACTGTGAACGTAACCAGCCTGCAAGCAGACAGCAAATACAGACCTGGGCTTGTCCCTTCTTCCTCAGCGCTGACTGCAGAGCCCTCTAATAAAGACCCCTGATTAAAGACCCGCCTCACTAAAGGCAAGGATCAGTGACAAGGATCCAGCTAATCATATGTCATACGAAGGCCCTTAAAGAACAGGCGGGTTCACTGCAAGAGCCGATGGTCTCGTATCGGCGTATTGAAGACCCGAGCCAGAAGAGACTGCAGCCTCAGTGTACTCAATGACATATTCAGGTGGTTCTAGGGCGTTGGGGTTGGCGGGGTGGGGGCTTCGGGTCCAGGATTTAACCTTGCCTAGAAGGAGGTCGCACGCAACCGTGAGGATCAGGGTTTAGGGCTTCGGGTGTCAAGGGCCCGCTTATTGGAGGCGTTCAGTTTGTGATGCGCGGTTTGAAAGGGCTTCGCCGATTAACACCTTATTAGTATTGAGAATCCTATGCCCTGGCTGGGCTTAGCCCCAGAGAATCTTGAAAGCCCCGCAAAATGCGCCAAACGTGAAAATCTACGCCCGTACAGTGGAAGCTGCCTATAGCTGAAACCCAGGTTCGAGACTTAAAGATTAAAGCCTAAACATCTTCACCGGCTGTAGCACTCCAAGCTTAGACCTAAGCAGCTTAATCCGAGCACCTGATTAATAGGGGGGCCCCCCCCCCCAAAAAAAAAAGGTAACAGAGTTAAAATGTCCGGACCCGCATTAATGGAAAA